CATACATACTTACATACATACAAACATATGTATCCATGTATGTACGTATGTATGTATGTATGTATGTATGTATGTATGTATGTATGCATGTAAGTATGCATGTATGTATGCATGCATGCATGTGCATACATATGTGCTTATAGAATATGATATGTTATATTGTGTATGTTTTCCAAAATTATGTTGTGGAATCAAAGCAGGACACTTAGAAAACACATATCCAGTGAAGCCCTGAACTACGTGGGTCTCGAGCTTCGGGGTTAAGAGCTTGATTTCGGTAAGGTTTAATCAGAAGGGTTTAGGGTTTAGGGGTTAGAGTTTAAGGTTTAGGGTTTCGGGTTAAGGGGTTTAGGGCGGGGATTAGGGTTCAAGGCTGTAGCATGTATAGGGTTCATTGAATTTGTCGGAACCCTGGACCCCACACCAAAGGCGCCGGCGGTTTCCAGGTATGGGCTGCGAGTCTCTCTCGCGCTGAGCTCGTCTGGGTCGAGATTTTAGCTGCAATTTTAGCTGTTAACGGGTTCAGGCCTCATTTCAGGCTTCATAGCCTTCCTTAAAGCCGTTATCGTGTATATGTATTGGTGGTTCAAGTTTTCAGGGCTTTGGGATACAGGGACTCCCCGAAAGTATGTAGAATAATAGCCCTTTATAGGTTCTGGGCAATTATTTTACCTACTTTTGGGTGTTTAGGTAGGGACGAGACCCCGGTTCCAGAAACACCGGCTCTCTTCAACCCTTACAACCCCAGAGCGATGCCCCTGAAGCTAAATTTTCAAGACCTGAGGCTAAATCCGCAAGTCCCCACCCAATTCATCTCAGCTCTAACCCGCCAGTAACATCCAGTAACCGTATTATAGGAGCTGTAATAATTATAGCTAGTAGAATAAGGTGCCAGGGTATATTATACTAGAGTTATAACAAGGAACCCCCAAAAACATATTACAAGTAATAGCTAAGGCCCCTACCTTACGGGTTTGGACCTCTCGAGTACCACCAGAATTTTTAGGGACCAGTACGAAGGAAAAAAAAACAGTAGGCCCAAAGGCTCCATGTACCCATAGAGTATATACTTAGAACCTAAAGTACCTATGCAGGAACCCCTTTAAAGCCTAAGTATATACCCTATGGGTACATGGAGCCTTTGGGAGAGAAGGCCAGGGGAAGCGCTGAAGGCCTCCAGCGAGCAGCAGTACTGTCGGGTTTAGGGTTCAGGGTTTAGAGTTTATAGGGTTCAGGGTTTAGAGTTTATGGGGTTTAGGGTTTAGGGTTTATGGGGTTTAGGGTTTATGGGGTTTAGGGTTAATACGGTTTAGGGTTTAGGGTTTAGGGCTTAGGGTTGAGCCTATACTGTGTTACTATGGTATCAGCACTGTTTTTCGGCCAGCAGCGCATCGTATGGCAGCCAACATGCAAGGGCTCCTCGCGGTCACCTCGTCACCCCCATTTTTGATTCGCCATCCAGTTGAGCTGATCATAATGGGTCAAGGCTGTTTGCTCGGGATCCCCTTCCGTCGTGAAGGGCTGGAAAGTATAGAACTTGCATGTGGCGTCACCATCAGCATCCGTCGTCTCCACATGGTAAAATGTGTGAGAATTGCGTGGGGAGGCTTTGCTCATGCTCGCATCCTGTGGCAGAACCCAGCCCATACCATTGGTAGTGCGAGATCTGAGCTTCGCACCGCCATAGCCGATCCAGGGCACCGGGTCGAGAGGATTCTCGATCCGCAGCCCACCCTTGGGCTTCACATCCCTTGCCATCTCGGAGATGAAGCTTGGATTACCCGGGATCGGCGCCGCGACCGTCATTTCGTAGACGGGCTTGAAATCCGATTCCACTGCAATGGTCTCGGCAGCAAGAGCAGCCATGGCTCCGCCCAGGCTGTGTCCAGTGCAGATGCACCAGCTCCAATTCCCATGTAGCACGTAATCCAAGGCATTCCGTGTGGGATCCAACTCCTCCACTCCCCAAGAATGAAGGAGAAGGTTCAGCTCACGAAGACGCCACGCCCCCAAGCTATCAAAGAGATGGCCAAGATGCCTAGGTTCTCGCGGTAGCTCAGGAACTACAAGGGTGCCTCTTGAGGAGCCCATACCTCCCTTTCTACGGAAGTTCCCCCGAACCCAAACCCCTAGGCAACCCTAAACACTGAACCCAATCGTCCACAACCCTAAACCCTAAATCCTAAACAACCCCAGACCTTGAGCCCTGAACAACCCCCAAACCCTGAAACCTAAGCCCCAACTCTACCCAAAGGCTCCATGTACCCATAGAGTATATACTTAGACCCTAAAGTACCTATATTATATAGGAACCCCTGTAAGGCCTAAGTATATACCCTCTGGGTACATGGAGCCTTTGGGCTCTAAAGAAAAGAGCTTCTGAAAGCTGCCAGGTGCGTCTGAAAGCCGCGGTGAACTTTGGCATCCTTCGAACCCCTGAAGGGGGCCGACCTGGAGAATTTCTGAAGTTAAGGGCTTTAGGGTTGAGGGTTTAGGGTTTTTTAGGGTTTAAGGGTGCAAGCGGGCTTAGAGTTTTAGGGGTTCTAGGCTTGCGTCGACGGGTTTATTAGGGGTGAGACTCTGGTGGCTTGTCACTATTACTACCTGCGGTTGTCAACCAAGATTCCCCTATCCCTAAACCCCCCAGGTACCTACTATATAGGGTACTAGAGCCCCTAGGGCCCTATATAGTAGGTACCTGGAGGGTTAGGGTACTAGAGACCCTAGGGCCCTAAATAGTAGGTACCTGGAGGGTTAGGGTAGCTGGTTAGGGTATCTTCTGAAACTCTGACCTGAGGTCCAGGTTTCTCATCCAGTCCAAGACGTTCGAGGTTCCTTTGAAGCTGAGGATCAGGCCTACTCCCCCGTCCGCCAACCTGATCACCTCGGCTTCGCCGTTTGGGATTTTTGGGGTTGGGTTTAGAGTGATTTCGGTTCCGTTGCTACGTGCTCCCGGCAGAGATCGGCATCACAAAGAGGGCAGTTTAGCTTTCGGAACTTCCAAGGTGCATAGATCGCAGCCGCTGGGCAATCATCCTCCTGGTAATCTCCGGACTTACTGCGCTTGTGGTCGACCTCGCCCCTGATCTGTATCTCAGCCAGAACGGGAACATCTCCGCCTTTCCTCAGCTGTCTACGTCGTGGGAATACAGGCGGACTCACAACGTACCAGTGTCTCTGTAAAGTACACCGAAAGCAAGGAAGCCCCTATCCCTAACATACAAACGAAGACCCTGATGTGGAAATTGCTAGGGCCAAAATAATTGGAATAGGGTTTTGGGGTAAACAATTTTTAATACTATATAGGTGATAAGATACCCCCCCCCCCAAAAAAAAACAACAGAAAAGGTAATTTCTGAAGCCCCTATATTATGCACAAACACGGGCAGATATCAATATTACCAGCTCGGCAAGGCTCTCTGCATAGATGCCAAAGGAAGCATAGCTCCACTTCGATGGCAGCCTACCATAGGAGAGTAGCGATGTGCGCAGGGTCATATCCACCATGAAGGCATCAGCATCTGAGATGGGATTCGATAGCAGTCCCGTGGCCGTGGAGAGGACATCCTTCCATTTCGTGAAGTCGGTCACCGTGGGGATGACCACTTGATTGTAGGCGCTCGTCTCGGTCGGAGTGCATGGCTTGGGGAAGCTTATCTCTCCATCGTCTTGATCTGTCCGCAGAGCTGATCCCTGGATTGAAATAAAAGCAAGTATTCCGCAAAGAACACGATCCATTGCGTGGGAAACAGGGCGTGGGAGGGACCCAAACCGAACCCTGAGGCTGCAGCAGAGAACACCGGACCTGAAATCCGAACTAGTTTGTGTGAAATCCTGCCTGAATGCCGCCCCACTCAACCTATAATGTGGAGGATAGCAGGGACGACAACAACCCCGACTCGTTCTTATTGCATACATAATGTTGAAAGATATGTATGGTATACTTGAGTATATTACCAATGCTGTCGAGTGTTGAATCTGACGAACAACAACAGCCCAAGAGAGTCAGGGGCCAATCTTGTCGCTATCAAAGCTTGACAGAAAATTACGACTCTCGGGGCTGCGAAGGCCTCTCCCCAAAAGACAAGCTGCTGTACAAGATTAATATCATAACAATAGTATCCATGATTACTATTGTTATTGCTATTATCTTTTATTCTTATTCTTATTACTCTTATTTTTATCTTTTATTATTATCATTATTTACAAGTTTAGGCTTGAGGGGGTTCGGGATTCGGGATTCTGGATCTCGTATCACAGACAGAGCCGGCCCGAATTTCCAAAGGCTCCGGGCCTAAGTGGAGCTTCTTCGAAGCCAGGGGCATGTAGCTGGATCGACCTTGTGTTTCAGGGTTTAGGGTTTATAGGGGGCTCTGGGTTGCAGTTGTGCGACGTTTCGGGTTGAGGAGCCATTGGAAACAACTGATGTATTTGAGGGTCAGGCCTGTGCACGGCAGAAGTGGAACCTACCCAGAACCGACTTCTACACCCCACTTCGGTCGGTGCTCTAGACCAGCTAAACACGTGAGAAGATCCGACCTTTCCTGATTATTACTCCCTATTATTAGTGCGACAATTATGACTAACGATTAATGAGTCTGCATCGTAGCTCACAGAGATTTACAGAGGATCCTGCACAGATGGCACTAACTTGCAGAAGCAAGCGGCCTGATGCTCATCAGGACGGCCGACGCCGCGCAATTCAAAAACTATTGAACAGGCTGTGGGGGAACATTATACTATAACTGCAACGGGACTATATCATAACATTTATTCCGACTTGTATGGCTGACATGCTTGATTAGCAGCCGACAACAGGCCCTGACTTTATGAGGGATTGAGGGGCTTGGGGCTTTGAGGGCTAAGGGTTAAGGGTTTTCGATTAGGGGTCTGGGGATACATGCTCAGTTTTCTCAACTGCCATGCGCTACCGGGATCTGCCTTGCGGCACAACGTCCATGCTTCGCATGGCCTTAATGCACCTGCCCCTGTCGGGCAGTGTCATGTAGGTAGGGCTAAGGCTCTTCTGGCCATAGCCGGCCTACAGTGCACAGGAGCTGTCACAATGTGCGCTTCTGAATCTCATGCCTCGAATTTGCGGCAGGCCTAACCCTCTGGTTATGTCAGAAGGGTTTGGCCCGCCAGTAGGAACCTGCTGCAAAAACAGCTGCAGATTAATGGCCGAGCTCGGTGTACCTTAGCTGCAGATGTGGATCCCGGCCCCCCACACTGAGTTCTTGCAAGTATCACAGCGAGTAGTAGTGGTAGTATGTGGTAGTAGCCTTGGCATCAGTCATAGCAGTCGTGTGTTCGATGCAGTGACTACGAAAGCACCAGGCTGCCCGGGCAAGGCGAAAGAGGGATGAGGGAAGTCCTCCTCTACGACATGGTAACGGATGTTTGTCACGAGGAGCCCTGAACCATTAAGTGCGAGATATTCCGATCTTCAAGACGGACCCAAACTGTACGCCTTTGCACCGCACTAGCAGACCGGATGGCGCCCCACCTCGCATCTCGTCCCTGGAACCCATACCGGAGAAAGAAGCATCCCCCATGATGACCTTGTGTCACATTCTGTCGTAACTTCATGTTACACAACTGCTTCTCGTCCAAACACCGCCATGCAGTACTCCCCAAGCATCGAAGTCGCGAGAACATGTATGTTTTCTTACTGGAGGGTTCTCTCACACTTTGGGGCCCAAAGCTCAGCTCCCTCAGCGCGAAACACTAACCCAGAACCCGAAAACCCTAGACGCGAAAGCCCGCTATCGCACTGCTGCTTGGATGCTTCGTGTTCGGCGAATGGCTCTTGGACTCCGCGCCCTTGCCGCCACCGACGTTGAACCCGAAACTGAAATGGCCTCCACGTGGGTAGCTGTAGTTCTCTAAATTAGGTTCCCTTTTCTCCAACATAGTACGGCACGCTTATAAACGGACCCGAAAGGGGACCCTCATTTAGAGAACTACCCATCTGTGAGTTTCACAGTGGACTGTACGCTTCCAGGGAGCAGGTCTTTAGGGATTCATCTAGGGGTCGGTTTAAATAGGTGTAGTTACAGAAACTAATGATTCTAATGACTCCAATGTATACCGTAAACGGTAGGATGCTTCTCATGAATTAAGCTGATAAGGACCCGTAAACTACCAAACTATTGCAAGGTATCCCAAATTTGAGAAAGCCCATCAAATTTAAGACGGGGTCATGAACAGATCGAACCAACAGCTCAACGACGGATGTGCACAGGTTGCTGCAAGTTCATATATGTCTTGCGAAATATGAAGGCTTCTCGACAGTGTAAGCACGGTGTCTTTTGGACTTCCCGGGAAAAGCCAAAGCCAAGAAACTTAACCGGCACCCATGAACCATACAGCAGGTGTTTTCATACTTAGAAAACCGCTCTGCGGCAAATTACAGTGTCCCTGCATACAAACTGTAAGGGATATTACCAAGCCCTTGCAAAGTCTTATTTACGCAGGCTTACAGGGTATTGAAGTGTATTTTGCCCTCCAGAACAATCGAGGTGGTTAAAGTTGTTGCTTCGGGACCGATGCTTAGGGTTGGGGCTTAGGGGTTTGGGGATTGGGGGTTTCGGTTTCGGGTTTAGAGGATTTAGGATTTCAGGCTTAGGGGTTTGGGGATTACGGGTTTAGGGCTTTCCTAAACCCCCCAAATGTAGGTAAAATAATTGCCCAAAACCGATAAAAGGCTATTATTCTACATACTAGGTTAGGGTTGAGGATTTCGAGCTTAAAGCTTAGGGCGCCTTGGGTCTTGCAGTTTTCAGGCTCAGGGCTCATGGCTCTCACCCGGAGTTGGGGGTGTTCGGGGGTGTGGGGTTTCGTGTGACAGTAAATACCCATAGGCCCCTAAGTACCTTTTTGGGATTACCTTATAGGATTCTAAATATAAACCATAAAAAGGAACTGCTCAGGGGCCTATGGGTAGAGCTGAAGAGGCTTGTGTACAGCTTAGTGGTGGGCAAAGATTCTGGCCAGGCCGCTGTTGGAGGGATCAATGCACTCCTGGGCATCCAGCGTCGATGCGAGTCCTACACTACTAGACCCCCCCCCACTCCCCCGATACCCCTAACCACTGGAGTCACAAGAGCCGAAACGCAACACTCCCAAGCGCTACATCCCAACTCCAGATCCGTAGCTGTGTGAGTCTATAGCGGTGCTTTCATCAGGAAGATCACGAACATCGCACGGTCCAGCCTACCAAGCAGAACGAGCTACATTGCAGTGTGCATTCGTTCGACATAGTAGTGATCCTTTGCAAGATACTTTTCACACTTTCACTGGGTTTGCTTGTCCACCAAAAACCAAGTGAAAAGACATCAAAGATACCGCCTACTTGCCTGCCCCACCCCGACCCCAACCCCAACTCCAACCCCCCGCCCCACCCCACCCCGACCTCTGCCGACATACCCTTCCCACCTGGTTGCCTGGGGAGGGACGCCACCTGTCACGCGACTTAGACTTGCCTTAGTCACCTGGGTAAGCCCAACTGAGTGAACAGAGACCACAGAAGCTTTGCACAAAGACGAGCATCCAAGAAGTTCTTCGTCTTGCAGCAAGTGTCGGCGCCTCAATGGAGACTGCAGAGAACGGAGATCGAGCCCTACTCCTTGAAAAACCTTAATATAGGAGCCTTAATAATTAGAATAGGGTTTGGGGGGAGAATAGGGTTTGGGGGTATATTATGCTATAATCATAATAAGGAACCCCCCAAAACCCTATTCCAATTATTAAGGCCCCTACATATTA